CTGGTCAGTGTCTGTAGATTACCAAAAGGTGTAAAAATACAGACTTCACTGGTCAGTGTCTGTAGATTACCAAAAGGTTTCAAAATACAGACTTCACTGGTCAGTGTCTGTAAGCTACCAAAAGGTTTCAAAATACAGACTTCACTGGTCACTACCAAAAGGTTTCAAAATACAGACTTCACTGGTCAGTGTCTGTAAACTACCAAAAGGTGTAAAAATACAGACTTCACTGGTCAGTGTCTGTAGATTACCAAAAGGTGTAAAAATACAGACTTCACTGGTCAGTGTCTGTAGATTACCAAAAGGTGTAAAAATACAGACTTCACTGGTCTGTGTCTGTAAATTACCAAAAGGTGTAAAAATACAGACTTCACTGGTCAGTGTCTGTAGATTACCAAAAGGTGTAAAAATACAGACTTCACTGGTCAGTGTCTGTAGATTACCAAAAGGTGTAAAAATACAGACTTCACTGGTCAGTGTCTGTAAACTACCAAAAGATTTCAAAATACAGACTTCACTGGTCAGTGTCTGTAAACTACCAAAAGGTGTTAAAATACAGACTTCACTGGTCAGTGTCTGTAAACTACCAAAAGGTGTTAAAATACAGACTTCACTGGTCAGTGTCTGTAAACTACCAAAAGGTGTTAAAATACAGACTTCACTGGTCAGTGTCTGTAAACTACCAAAAGGTGTTAAAATACAGACTTCACTGGTCAGTGTCTGTAGATTACCAAAAGGTGTTAAAATACAGACTTCACTGGTCAGTGTCAGTAAATTACCAAAAGGTGTTAAAATACAGACTTCACTGGTCAGTGTCTGTAGATTACCAAAAGGTGTAAAAATACAGACTTCACTGGTCAGTGTGTGTAGATTACCAAAAGGTGTTAAAATACAGACTTCACTGGTCAGTGTCTGTAGATTACCAAAAGGTGTTAAAATACAGACTTCACTGGTCAGTGTCTGTAAATTACCAAAAGGTGTTAAAATACAGACTTCACTGGTCAGTGTCTGTAAACTACCAAAAGGTGTAAAAATACAGACTTCACTGGTCAGTGTCTGTAGATTACCAAAAGGTGTTAAAATACAGACTTCACTGGTCAGTGTCTGTAGATTACCAAAAGGTGTTAAAATACAGACTTTCACTGGTCAGTGTCTATAGATTACCAAAAGGTTTTAAAATACAGACTTCACTGGTCAGTGTCTGTAGATTACCAAAAGGTGTTAAAATACAGACTTCACTGGTCAGTGTCTGTAAATTACCAAAAGGTGTAAAAATACAGACTTCACTGGTCAGTGTCTGTACAGTACCAAAAGGTGTTAAAATACAGACTTCACTGGTCAGTGTCTGTAGATTACCAAAAGGTGTTAAAATACAGACTTCACTGGTCAGTGTCTGTAAATTACCAAAAGGTGTAAAAATACAGACTTCACTGGTCAGTGTCTGTAAACTACCAAAAGGTGTAAAAATACAGACTTCACTGGTCAGTGTCTGTAGATTACCAAAATGTGTAAAAATACAGACTTCACTGGTCAGTGTCTGTAAATTACCAAAAGGTGTAAAAATACAGACTTCACTGGTCAGTGTCTGTAAATTACCAAAAGGTGTAAAAATACAGACTTCACTGGTCAGTGTCTGTAAACTACCAAAAGGTGTAAAAATACAGACTTCACTGGTCAGTGTCTGTAGATTACCAAAAGGTGTAAAAATACAGACTTCACTGGTCAGTGTCTGTAGATTACCAAAAGGTGTTAAAATACAGACTTCACTGGTCAGTGTCTGTAAACTACCAAAAGGTGTAAAAATACAGACTTCACTGGTCAGTGTCTGTAGATTACCAAAATGTGTCAATATACAGACTTCACTGGTCAGTGTCTGTAGATTACCAAAAGGTGTAAAAATACAGACTTCACTGGTCAGTGTCTGTAAACTACCAAAAGGTGTAAAAATACAGACTTCACTGGTCAGTGTCTGTAAATTACCAAAAGGTGTAAAAATACAGACTTCACTGGTCAGTGTCTGTAGATTACCAAAAGGTGTAAAAATACAGACTTCACTGGTCAGTGTCTGTAGATTACCAAAAGGTGTCAAAATACAGACTTCACTGGTCAGTGTCTGTAAACTACCAAAAGGTTTCAAAATACAGACTTCACTGGTCAGTGTCTGTAGATTACCAAAAGGTGTTAAAATACAGACTTCACTGGTCAGTGTCTGTAGATTACCAAAAGGTGTTAAAATACAGACTTCACTGGTCAGTGTCTGTAAACTACCAAAAGGTGTTAAAATACAGACTTCACTGGTCAGTGTCTGTAGATTACCAAAAGGTGTTAAAATACAGACTTCACTGGTCAGTGTCTGTAACTACCAAAAGGTGTAAAAATACAGACTTCACTGGTCAGTGTCTGTAAATTACCAAAAGGTGTAAAAATACAGACTTCACTGGTCAGTGTCTGTAAATTACCAAAAGGTGTTAAAATACAGACTTCACTGGTCAGTGTCTGTAGATTACCAAAAGGTGTTAAAATACAGACTTCACTGGTCAGTGTCTGTAGATTACCAAAAGGTGTTAAAATACAGACTTCACTGGTCAGTGTCTGTAGATTACCAAAAGGTGTAAAAATACAGAAAAGGTGTTAAAATACAGACTTCACTGGTCAGTGTCTGTAGATTACCAAAATGTGTCAATATACAGACTTCACTGGTCAGTGTCTGTAAATTACCAAAAGGTTTCAAAATACAGACTTCACTGGTCAGTGTCTGTAAACTACCAAAAGGTGTAAAAATACAGACTTCACTGGTCAGTGTCTGTAGATTACCAAAAGGTTTCAAAATACAGACTTAACTGGTCAGTGTCTGTAGATTACCAAAAGCTGTAAAAATACAGACTTCACTGGTCAGTGTCTGTAGATTACCAAAAGCTGTAAAAATACAGACTTCACTGGTCAGTGTCTGTAGATTACCAAAAGGTGTTAAAATACAGACTTCACTGGTCAGTGTCTGTAGATTACCAAAAGGTGTTAAAATACAGACTTCACTGGTCAGTGTCTGTAGATTACCAAAAGGTGTTAAAATACAGACTTCACTGGTCAGTGTCTGTAAATTACCAAAAGGTGTTAAAATACAGACTTCACTGGTCAGTGTCTGTAAACTACCAAAAGGTGTAAAAATACAGACTTCACTGGTCAGTGTCTGTAGACTACCAAAAGGTGTAAAAATACAGACTTCACTGGTCAGTGTCTGTAGATTACCAAAAGGTGTAAAAATACAGACTTCACTGGTCAGTGTCTGTAGATTACCAAAAGGTGTAAAAATACAGACTTCACTGGTCAGTGTCTGTAAATTACCAAAAGGTGTAAAAATACAGACTTCACTGGTCAGTGTCTGTAAACTACCAAAAGGTGTAAAAATACAGACTTCACTGGTCAGTGTGTGTAGATTACCAAAATGTGTCAATATACAGACTTCACTGGTCAGTGTCTGTAAACTACCAAAAGGTGTAAAAATACAGACTTCACTGGTCAGTGTCTGTAGATTACCAAAAGGTGTAAAAATACAGACTTCACTGGTCAGTGTCTGTAGATTACCAAAAGGTGTTAAAATACAGACTTCACTGGTCAGTGTCTGTAGATTACCAAAAGGTGTTAAAATACAGACTTCACTGGTCAGTGTCTGTAAACAAAACTTATATTGATTTTGTCATACGGATCTTTTTTATTGTATGCTGAGATTTGATGACACTCATTAGTGTTACGATTGTTGGACACCAAATTGAAATGATACGTTTTCTATAACCAAAATTTTATGACCTATTGAGGAAGAGAATACTATTTTTGATGTGAAATTATGTATAAATATACTTTTTTAAGCTCACCAGGTGATGCCATTTCGCGGCGTCCGTCGACTGTTTGATAGGAACATGTACTAGTCATGAATAACTGAAATGAATTTTATCAAATTTTGTCAGATGAATCCTTTGGGGAAGCAGATCCCCACTCCTCCTTTAGATATAATGGAATTTTGCCCAGATTTTCTCACATTGGGTCTCAGTTCCCTGGGATCGGAAGGGCTGGGTGCAATAAGGAGAACAGAGGAAATTATTTAGATTTGTTCTTTTGTGGAAATTGCCTTGAATCTTCCGATTTGGACCGAAGCATACTTAGGTGAAAGGAACTTTTGTATCAACTAGAGTATGAATGGTGAATCTGACTTCTGTTTGACCTCAAGACCTTGACCCAAATTATTGCAGGAAATATTTGTGATATTTGAAATTCTTTGTTAAATGGCAGAACATCTTTAATTAGCCAGATGAGCGATGCAAGCCCCTTGAACCTCTAGTAAGGTCTCATGGTGACCTATTGACCTATTGCGATACCCTTTTGGCCGACGTCGTCCGTCGTCAGTCTGGATTTTTTTTTTTTTTTTTTACATTTTTGACTTCTTCTGGAAAACTATTGAACCGATTTGAGTGAAACTTGATAGAAACCTTCCATGACCAAAGGTTAACCAAAAATGTAAATCATACAGTCCCGCTGTTAATTAATTCTATGACTTCCAGTTGTAACTTCCGTAAAACTCTTCTCTTCCTTTCCAAATATCATTTCTCATTTTCTCTTCTCGATACCACTCATTCATCTCAATTGTTTCTGTTTATGAGTTCATTCAGGTGGCCGTTTAGGCCCCTAAACTCTTGTTGAATCTTAAAATGGATGTTTTGATTTGGTTTGTTTTATATTTTTGTTTGTTTAGTTTTTTTGTTTTTTGTTTTTTATTTTTTGGTTTTTTTTTTTTTTCATTGTTTTTCAATACATCTTAATTGTAATACATTCGTATTGTTCTTAATATTGTAACAGTACAAGTATTTAAAATCAATGAGCTTAATACCTTAGTTTACCTTTATCAATCATGCTAATTCAGCCCAAACAGCACGGACTCAAAATTGCCCAAATTCTGAGAATTACAGAAGAATAATGAAAAACCAGTAAATATGTCTTCCTGTTTTAAGGTATTTCCGGTTTCTGTTTTAAGGTATTTCCGGTTTCTGTTGGCGTCCGAGCATCCGTCCACCTTTTCCCAGAAGAACGTGAACATCCTGGTGGCTGGGATGTATGTACTGATCATTCTCGTGGCCACTGGTCCTCTCTACGGACTCGGAGAATATTCCAACTTTCGTGGTAAGTGTAGAAAGACCATGAAATCAACATGCAACAAATCATGTGATCAACATGCAACAAATCATGTGACCGTCATGTGACAAGCCTTTGATGTTCTTAGATCCAAAAAGAAATCAATTCTCACGATACACAAATTTTCAACAAAGATGTGTGTGATATAAGAGAGATGATGTATTGCTCCGACTGCGACCTGTGCGAGCATTGGTGAGCAAAAATGAAAACTTGGAGACGAGTTTCATAAGAATGGAAAACATTTTATCACATAAATCACAATAATTACTTTTTGTAAAGTCATAATGCGGAGGCAAAACAACAAAGAACATACAAACACAATCATAATGAACACTCTAATCCAATAAAACAGGGACAAAATACAAAACAAAGATCTACAACAAGATTTATGCTAAAGTACAAGGAAAATAACACGAGGTGTTCCGGAAGAGAAAGCGATCCCAATGGGATCAATTTGACGACCGCAAACCTTCCCCATCTACTTCATGAATTTGCGTCTCTCAAAATCCTGTGAATCTGTCAACTGCCGGCATCTTGCACGAAATCAAACATGGCACCCATTTTTACGTCATTTTCAATTGATGTCTTAACGTCATTGCCTTATATCATATTTTGAAGTCGGATGCAAATCTAATTTCTCAAGTTTAATATTGTGTCTGTCCACCAATGGCAATTGATGCATGTCACACATCTACATAGGACTGATCAAACTCGAGGAATGATCTGCCATAAACCTGACAAAGTACGACGTAATGCGTCCAACGTCACGGTAGGATTCGTCTCCTGACGTCGCTAAATTCCATCCTAACCATGTCCGGCCGTAGACAAATTTGATGGCACTGCAAGTTAAGGTAGTACGATGGCGTTCTGTTGCTATAGAAATGACCCAACAACACGTGCAATATGAGGTCGTGCATTGTCCTGCTGCAAAATATTGGTACCATTACGAAGAACGTGATCATGTGTATTTCCATCACGGTAGAGCACACCGGTCAAGCTGCCTTACATGTAAACAAAAGGGATCCTAACATGCATTGTAATGCACAGGGGGCCAGACCATAATGTTCCCTCCACCGAACTAACGACCCTTGGTAAAACGTCCGTCACTGTAACGTTTTCTCGGCCCGGACCGTCCTCCCAGCCGGGACCGTCACTGTAACGTTCTCCCGTCCGGAACCGTCACTGAAACGTTCTCCCGGATGGGACCGTCACTATAACGTTCTCCCGTCCGGAACCGTCACTGTAACGTTCTCTCGGCCGGGACCGTCACTGTAACGTTCTCCCGGCCGGGACCGTCACTGTAACGTTCTCCCGGCCGGGACCGTCACTGTAACGTTCTCTCGACCGGAACCGTCACTGTAACGTTCTCTCGACCGGTACCGTTACCCTAACGTTCTCTCGGCCGGTACCGTCACTGTAACGTTATCTCGGCCGGTACCGTCACTGTAATGTTCTCTCGGCTGGGACCGTCACTGTAACGTTCTCTCGGCCGGGACCGTCACTGTAACGTTCTCTCGACCGGAACCGTCACTGTAACGTTCTCTCGGCCGGGACCGTCACTGTAACGTTCTCCCGGCCGGGACCGTCACTGTAATGTTCTCCCGGCCGGGACCGTCACTGTAACGTTCTCTCGGCCGGTACCGTCACTGTAATGTTCTCTCGGCTGGGACCGTCACTGTAACGTTCTCTCGGCCGGGACCGTCACTGTAACGTTCTCTCGGCCGGTACCGTCACTGTAATGTTCTCTCGGCTGGGACCGCCACTGCTATCAATGTCAAATTTGGACTCGTCCGTGAATAGTAATTCAGATCAGTTCCTTTTAGTGAATCTCAGATGTGTCCTGTACCCTGCTTAATGCGACACTCTGTGAAGTTGTAGCAGATAGCGGGACATCGCGAGCGAACGTCTGCCTCTCGCGATCTGTATGGTACGCTTCTGGAACTGATCTAAGTCCAGGAATGCTTCTAACAGTCATTGAAGAGGCTGGAACCGTTAACACAAATGTTACTTTATATATACGTATTTCTGCCGATATGACGTCACGCGCACTCGTCATACCTACGGACTGTCCCGTACCGTGTTCGTACATCCCAAACCGTCCAACAAAAAGTCCGGATATACTGAGATTTTCTTACCACTTGCATGTTCCTGACAAAATGATCTGCAGCAAAACAACGATCCTGTGATATAGTGCATGCACTTCTACCTACAAACACAAGACCTTTGGACTTTTCTCGTAATATGCCTAGGCTCGAAACTCGAGAAGAAGAACAACTCATGCGGATACCTTTGGAACAAATCGAAAGTTTAAAGTTCTTTCTAGTAGAACAAGCTTTAACACTTCAAAACATTAATTAGGAAATTATCAATGAGACAAATATTCGGATCACTTTTTTGTCTGAATTTTCGGTAAACAAAGTTTTTTGGTAAACAAAATATTTTTTTTCGGTAAACAAAGTTTTCCGTTAGTATAGATTGTACGTAGGACAAAATACATAAAACACCTTTCAATACAATTTTGAATGTATAGTGAATAAACCTCTTCAGACAGACAATATACTAGGTTGTTTACGTAATCATTAAACATTCGTTTGTGTTATATTACGCTGTGTATAATGAGCTTTGATTGCTCAGGATATTTTGCATCGTGGAAAAATAAGAATAATATTTTTTATAACACAGAAAAAAAGATGTTCCCTAGCTGAAATACCTTTACAGAATGAAACCCTAAACATCACTGACCCGTATTGAAAGTCGGTACAGCTGTAAGATGTATTTTAATTCATCATCTGGAGCTTCTGTATCTCTAATTTGTATTAAATAGATAATACATGGTCAGTGTCTTAAAATGTCAGGCGATGGAGGAGAAAGACGAGAGTGACGAGCCTCGGGCAAGCACCTTTTGTCTTCTTGTCCCAAGCCAAAATGAAGCTTATATATTTAAGACACTAGCCATATATTCTATTTATCCTGCAACATTGATTGAAAATCAGATGATCAAATCTTCAACACTATGTTTTGTTTTTCAATCTTTGTGTACCTGTCGTTGACGTTACACTGAATTTTGCCTGATCACCTACGAAACGAAACATTGGATGCATATCATCTCAGGTATTATGGCTATGCATTTTGCTCTTTTATTAATTTAAAAGAAACATTTTTGTTTTAAATCTAAATTAATTTATAGTATATGGTATCATATCTCAGGTAACAGTTAAAAGCACAGGTAAATGAACTCAGATGAAATAAATGGTAAGTATGAAACCGACTATTTTTGATCTGCCATGGTCTTCATTAAACATCTTTCTTTGTCTAATAAAAATGGGCGAATCGGGAACCTTTGTCTTATTTCTAACTAACTAACTTTGTACAGAGACGATTTAACATACATCTTCATTTCCATTCACCGCAGAATGGGCAGCTTTATCAAATACTATTAAGTGGAAGTGTTCATAGCTGTTGCAAGAATTGTGTTAGTTTTCTTGTTTCTCTGATAGCTATCTCCAGGGACGGAGAAATAATATGTCATCTGTCAGAATAAAGGGATTTGCAGTGTGTGCACTTAAGGACATTTTCCTTCCTATCTACAGGTCACGTGACACTCATCATTTCGGGTAACTCAACCAGACAGAATTTATCACACGCAGACAAGATGGACGAGGAAAGATTTCATGTCACTCTACTTCATCAAGCAGCTGTTATTGGTAAAATCCCCGATCCTATTCCTTGGTTTGTGAAGCGTTTAGAACAAGATTATGGCATGTCCACCACCCGTTACATATGGGGAGATCGAGGTCTTCATTTTCTGCTACGCGCGTGGACAGAACGGCATGCGTGGTCATTTCTGTCAGCTTATCAGGCGGACGGACTCCGACCACTACTGTCGCGACACCTATGGCACGAAGAACTATTGTGGAGTCTGGGGATGGAACACCTGGAGTTCACGGCACAACTTGACCAGGCGGAATACAGGAACTATGTTACTATATACGTACCGTCTCAGAGTGAGTATTAATTACATTGCGTCAACGAGCGTATGAACGTTGTCTAATGCACGTGATCACGCTACAAATGTTTCGGACATAACCAATGTTCATTGGGATTACGTATTATTATCTTTTATCACCGATTCGCATAGGAATCTGGAACCACTGGCCAACTAATCTAACGCTCCCTCGAGAAATTTTCCTCGCCAACTCTGTAGGAGGCAAACTAGCTTTATTTCATTAGAGATATATGAAGATAGCATAGAGGTAAACTGACCTTATATCTCTACAGGTATACGAAGATAGCATAGAGGTAAACTGACCTTATATCTCTACAGGTATACGAAGATAGCATAGAGGTAAACTGACCTTATTTAACTAGAGATATACGAAGATAGCATAGAGGTCAACTGACCTTATTTAACTAGAGATAAACGAAGATAGCATAGAGGTAAACTGACCTTATTTAACTAGAGATAAACGAAGATAGCATAGAGGTAAACTGACCTTATTTAACTAGAGATATACGAAGATAGCATAGAGGTAAACTGACCTTATTTAACTAGAGATAAACGAAGATAGCATAGAGGTAAACTGACCTTATTTAACTAGAGATATACGAAGATAGCATAGAGGTAAACTGACCTTATTTGACTAGAGATAAACGAAGATAGCATAGAGGTAAAGATAAACGAAGATAGCATAGAGGTAAACTTATTTGACCTTAGAGGTAAACTTTATTTGACTAGAGATATACGAAGATAGCATAGAGGTAAACTGACCTTATATCTCTAGAGGTATACGAAGATAGCATAGAGGTAAACTGACCTTATTTAACTAGAGATATACGAAGATAGCATAGAGGTAAACTGACCTTATTTAACTAGAGATATACGAAGATAGCATAGAGGTAAACTGACCCTTATTTAACTAGAGATAAACGAAGATAGCATAGAGGTCAACTGACCTTATTTAACTAGAGATATACGAAGATAGCATAGAGGTAAACTGACCTTATTTGACTAGAGATAAACGAAGATACTAGAGGACCTTATTTAACTAGAGATATACGAAGATAGCATAGAGGTAAACTGACCTTATTTAACTAGAGATATACGAAGATAGCATAGAGGTAAACTGACCTTATTTGATATAAACGAAGATAGCATAGAGGTAAACTGACCTTATTTAACTAGAGATATACGAAGATAGCATAGAGGTAAACTGACCTTATTTGACTAGAGATAAACGAAGATAGCATAGAGGTAAACTGACCTTATTTAACTAGAGATATACGAAGATAGCATAGAGGTAAACTGACCTTATTTAACTAGAGATATACGAAGATAGCATAGAGGTAAACTGACCTTATTTGACTAGAGATAAACGAAGATAGCATAGAGGTAAACTGACCTTATTTGACTAGAGATATACGAAGATAGCATAGAGGTAAACTGACCTTATTTGACTAGAGATAAACGAAGATAGCATAGAGGTAAACTGACCTTATATCTCTAGAGGTATACGAAGATAGCATAGAGGTAAACTGACCTTATTTAACTAGAGATATACGAAGATAGCATAGAGGTAAACTGACCTTTATCTCTACAGGATATTTAACTAGAGATAGATAGCATAGAGGTAAACTGACCTTATCTCTTTACGAAGATACTAGAGTAAACTGATAAACGAAGATAGCATAGATAAACGAAGATAGCATAGAGGTAAACTGACCTTATATCTCTACAGGTATACGAAGATAGCATAGAGGTAAACTGACCTTATATCTCTACAGGTATACGAAGATAGCATAGAGGTAAACTGACCTTATTTAACTAGAGATATACGAAGATAGCATAGAGGTAAACTGACCTTATTTAACTAGAGATATACGAAGATAGCATAGAGGTAAACTGACCTTATTTAACTAGAGATATACGAAGATAGCATAGAGGTAAACTGACCTTATTTAACTAGAGATAAACGAAGATAGCATAGAGGTAAACTGACCTTATATCTCTACAGGTATACGAAGCATACGTTGTACGATACAGCCTGTTGATTCATTGTTTATTTTTACATGATTATACAAGGATATGACGTTTTCTCTGTTGCAGGTCTTGGTCAGTGCACCGTTGACTTTACGTCCCCACACGTGCACGCCACGGTTTGGTCAGGTTACCAGTTGGTCATCAATACATTACTGCCACTTGCGCTCTCCCTAATTGTATATGTTGTCTTGTACGCACGCAATCCCTTCACAATGTCTGCCTTTGACAAGAATCTTTCTCAAGAAGACTATTCAAGTCTTCGCATCTTCTGTACGTCATCAATGACGTCATGTTTCTTTTCCATTATATACTTTGGGGTGACGTTGTCCAACGCTGAAGGCGCATATATTTCGCGAGAAATTAACTTTGCGGTGACGTTTGCCTATTATAGTAGTGGTCTAGCGTTGTGCTTGTGTATTTGCCGTTACGACAGTTTGTGTCTAGTTAATCTCAAAACGTCCTGTCAGAAATGTTTGCTTTACTCTCGGGACTCCATTTCAAACGAGATCTCGGACATCAAACTCGGCCAGAGGGCACTGCCAAGAATTGGACACGACAACAAGGTTCGGTTTGGACAGATTTATTTGTGATATCGTGTGCAGTGATTTCTCCAAAGGTTATTTTGTTGTTGCTTTACACAAGACGGCCAATTTCTAGCGCAAACTAGAAACATCACTCTCTTCAAAACAAGCGAGGAGAATGTTTTAACAGAATTTGTGTCTCTAATCATATGATACTTGATTTGAACGAATTTCGGTTGCCACAACTGCTGAATACCGCTACAAGGACGATAACGTGATTTCTATAGAGAGACACAGATTGCTTCTGTATATTTGTGAAGATGTTGCAGAAATTTCATGGTCGCCTTGACGATATCATTGGGAAAATTAAAAGTTAACAGTACCATAACCCAAACCGAAATTCATAAAAACCAGACCAAATTTGTGAATAAAACAAAGGCATCGTTGTATAAGGTCTTTTTCTGATAGCTTTTCGCGAGCCTCCGTGTCTTTTGTCCTGGTTGTATTCAATATTCGACGAAAACAGTTTAGTACTTGTCCTTTTATGGTTGTTTGTGTAGTGTTTGTGTTGACAATGTTACCAACCGTCTCAGGTTTATCATACACAATATACACAACCATCACAGAATCCTGCAAAGATGTTAATTTTCGAGGGATTAAATTTTCGCTGTTTTAATTAAAGCTTGTGGCAAAAATGGTACATTTTACAGCTGCCATGAAACGGACAATCATTTTCTCTGTATTACTATCTCTGTATGCATGTAAATATTTTCTCAACAAATAGATACAATGTAACATAAATTTGACCCTCAACGAATTGTGATGGGAATGATCCGATGGACATTTATGATTGAAATTAATGAGACATTGAACGATGGTGAGTGATTAATATGGTAACAATTTAAACCAATGAAATGAAGAGGCCCAAGGAGCCTGCATTGCTCATGTGGCTAATTTAGCTATTCAGCTATTAAGAGTAAAGAATTTCAAATATGACAAAAACAACTTCTGATATAGTTTCTCTATTGGGTCTCGGCTTTGTGATCAATCAGAAACTAGATTCACTAATCATAAAAAATTGCTTTAGACAAAACATGGACAATATCATTGTACGGCAGAAGGATTTGAAGGTACATTTTCCCAATTGGATCCACATATCACGCCCTAAGATGCCGGGATGCACCATTTATACAGAATTGAATTCACCAAAGAATACCTCTGACAGAAATTTGGGCAATATCCATTCATTCCTGCAGGAGTAGTAGGGTTTTAAGAATAAATATATTTCCCCTATTAGGACCTGCCCCTCCCTCTCAAAGGGGCTGCATGGTTGATTCCCCTTCGCTCAAGAGTACATTAGACCAAATTTGGGCAATATCCAATCATTACTATAGAACAAATAGGAAGTTACAGACTTTGCTATCTGTATCCTATTGAACCTCTGAATTCCCGCTCTTGCTGTCTGTATCCTATTGAACCCCTGACTTCCCGCTCTTGCTGTCTGTATCCTATTGAACCCCTAACTTCCCGCTCTGCTGTCTGTATCCTATTGAACCCCTGACTTCCCGCTCTTGCTGTCTGTATCCTATTGAACCCCTGACTTCCCGCTCTTGCTGTCTCTATGCTATTGAACCCCCTGACTTCCCGCTCTTGCTGTCTGTATCCTATTGAACCCCTGACTCCCCCCTCTTGCTGTCTGTATGCTATTAAACCTCCTGAGTTCCCGCTCTGCTGTCTGTATCCTATTGAATCCCTGACTTTCTGCTCTTGTCCTCTGTATCCTATTGAACCCCTGTCTTCCCGCTCTGCTGTCTGTATCCTATTGAATCCCTGACTTTCTGCTCTTGTCCTCTGTATCCTATTGAACCCCTGTCTTCCCGCTCTGCTGTCTGTATCCTATTGAATCCCTGACTTTCTGCTCTTGTCCTCTGTATCCTATTGAACCCCTGTCTTCCCGCTCTGCTGTCTGTATCCTATTGAATCCCTGACTTTCTGCTCTTGTCCTCTGTATCCTATTGAACCCCTGTCTTCCCGCTCTGCTGTCTGTATCCTATTGAATCCCTGACTTTCTGCTCTTGTCCTCTGTATCCTATTGAACCCCTGTCTTCCCGCTCTGCTGTCTGTATCCTATTGAATCCCTGGCTTTCTGCTCTTGTCCTCTGTATCCTATTGAACCCCTGTCTTCCCGCTCTGCTGTCTGTATCCTATTGAATCCCTGACTTTCTGCTCTTGTCCTCTGTATCCTATTGAACCACTGTCTTCCCGCTCTGCTGTCTGTATCCTTTTGAACCCCAGATTTCCCGCTCTTGCTGTCTGTATCCGATTGAACACCTGACTTCCCGCCCATGGGGGCCTAGACTGTTTATACAAAATTGATATTTCTTTGGCCCATTACTTCGACTAATTTGCCTCTGAAAAAAATTTTTAAATGATTATAGCACAAACAATATTTGAAGTCTTGGTTTGCATTCAAATGATCAATATAGAGCGGTTGTTGGAACATTCAAGACTATCGACAACTTGACCTTTACCGGAATCTTGTCCTCAGCTAAAAAGCGAGACAATCGATTACAATATATCGTGTAAGCTTTGTAAATAGGAAACTACTTAACAAGAGGCACATAGGGACTTTATCGCTCACCAGATTTATTTGCTAAAGTCGATTAATTTAGACTAAATGACCAGTATCTAAAACACTTATATCTATTTCCCGTTGTAGGCCCCGTCCCTCCTCCCCAAAGGGGTTAAATACATCGATTGTACAAAACTTCACCCAAAGATGCTTCAAACGAAATCTGGAATAAATCGAATCATTCCGACAGAGGAACGATATTAAAGAATTTCTTCTATATCCCCAATTGAGCCAGGCAGGCCCCTCCCACCCGAGGAGGCCGAAACTAAAAGTTTATTCAAAACTGATTCAGCTTCACCAAAGGATGATTTAGACCAACTTTTGGCAAAATCGAAACATTCCTATAGAAGAAGTAGGTTTTAAATATTATCTTTTCCCACTACTGGACCCCGCCTCTCTAGTCCCATGGGGCCGAAACCCACTGTTTATACGAAATCGATTCTCTTCATCCAAGCATTGTCAGACCAAACTGGGACAGAATCCAGACATTTCTACATAAGCATGCTTCAAACAAAATGGGGACAGCATCCATGGATTCCTATAGATGACGGATTTTAAAGAATTTGCTCTTTTTACCCTATGGGCGTTGTCTCCAAATCGCTTGAGTCGAAATTCCGTTTGAGTAGAAATAATTTCCCAATTTTTTCCTTTTATATTTTGGTCAGTTCGGATGACTCGCATTTCATTTATGTGAAATTTCGTTTAAGTCAAAATTACTTTTCTGTCCCTTCAATTGTCAAGCAAGGGAAAATGCATTTGTTGTCTCGAAATTAATTTTTGTAAAAACATCGGCACGTCTTCTGACGAAATCGGTTACTACATACACAGAGTAGAGAGTCACCCGTATGTAACACATAGCTTGTTACGGCGTGTCGCTCCATCGTATTTATTAGCCAATTACCAGTTGGCTTTTAATTTGTGTCACCCGTAGCAATGACTCACAGTTAAACAAGTAGTGTGTTTATACAAGACATGAAAACATTTAGCTTGGTTGCATGCATTTTCAGGAACGATAAAAACGAAAACCGTCAAACCAGTACGAACTTTTCAACGAAATCTGATCCCTACAATTCCGAAGGAAACTATTTTTTGGGCTTGTTTGGACTGTGCACTTTGCTAGATTTAGCGCTTGGACAATGAAATGCTGAAGGTATTTTTCACTGATAGAGTCTATATCTGTGTGTGATTTGTCTAGCGATTGTATAAGGTTTTCTAAAAATAACTTTTTGGTGCCGCGTTTTTCATGTTTATTTTTTCATAATGAAGTCATGATAAAATTATCTGTAGCTTCATTTAATTGGTCTAGATCGGGTTCCAGAAGAAAATACTGACCAATCACTGGCTGATACGCTCCCTTTGAAAATTACAAGGGAGCGACACCCAATTTCAAAGTCATTACAACATACCGTTATGAGACCTCGAGATTCGTTTGGTGTATATCAAAGGATCAAACTAGTGTCTTCGTTATGTCCATAATTGTGCCCAAAATTTTAAATTTTGCCACGGTATGTTCCACGGGTGCAGAGAATGTCAGTGAGCGCAACCCCTGGAGTTTCGAGGATGATTAAAAGTCTCTAGATTCTAAGAAACGAACAATTATGTTCGTGTAAAAATGACTAGCATTAGGGACCTACGAATGTTCATTGTTAAATTCAACTACGGGCAATTTGAACAACCCACTATCTAATGATGATTGGGTCAAAAGAGTGAAGATAAAGTTAAATGTTTATTTGTCAGGGTGTCGGGGTACAATATTCTTGCAGTAACTGGTCACAACCTCACTGTACAACATATGGGAAGTCAACACACACCATTCTGAACAATTAGAGTTAAGTATCGTGCTTATGGTCACAACCATGATAGAAAAGGTCTAATCCCATTTAAGTGGGGATCCAACTACACATCCGAGATCTTCAATTACCTACCTAAGTCTACCGAAGGCAGGATGTCCGAGATCTTCACTTACCTACCCAAGTCTACCTAAGGCAGGAAGTCCGCGTACTTCACTTACCTACCTAAGTCTACCGAAGGCAGAAAGTCCGAGATCTTCACTTACCTACCCAAGTCTACCTAAGGCAGGAAGTCCTCGATCTTCACTTACCTACCTAAGTCTACCGAAGGCAGGAAGTCCGAGATCTTCACTTACCTACCCAAGTCTACCTAAGGCAGGGAGTCCGCGTACTTCACTTACCTACCTAAGTCTACCGAAGGCAGGAAGTCCGAGATCTTCACTTACCTACCCAAGTCTACCTAAGGCAGGGAGTCCGCGTACTTCATTTACCTACCTAAGTCTACCGAAGGCAAGAAGTCCGAGATCTTCACTTACCTACCCAAGTCTACCTAAGGCAGGGAGTCCGCGTACTTCATTTACCTACCTAAGTCTACCGAAGGCAAGAAGTCCGAGATCTTCACTTACCTACCCAAGTCTACCTAAGGCAGGGAGTCCGCGTACTTCATTTACCTACCTCAGTCTACCGAAGGCAGGAAGTCCGCTTCTTTCTCTATATTCGGCTACGAATCATTATTTACACAATTACTTGTGCCGGTCCAGCAATTATATGGGGCAGTATAATCGTACGCAAGTGAATGTACACTCCAATGTCTGTCTAATCTTCATTCGAGGAACTTCACGGAGTTTGCACCTATAATGGCGTCTGACAAGCCATTCCATACACGAATGACCGTGTTTGTGAAGAAGTATGTTAAGCCTGCTTCTGCATTTTTTCGAATTTCCCTTAGTATTAGTATCAGATACTCCTTCTGTGACTTTCTCGTTGTACATTCCTGACCGAATCTTCCCGCCTCTCAGTCACCGAAGGATTAAAGTAGGTAACATCAATCTCTTGAATCTTCGTATGTTAAATCACCTACTACAGGAATACGTTTTGTAGCTTTCCGTTGTATATTCCCTGATTCCATTTCCTTGTATAGGCTCCATACCCTGGCCGCATACTCCAGGCGTACTAATGTAAAGTAAAGGTCTCCATAGTCTGATTCTGCCAAGATTCTGTTTGCTTTGTTCAGCTGATTCTGGATATGATCCTCTAATGTTAAATTGGCTTCTGACGTCACTCATATCTCGATGTCGTTAAGTGTCCCCTCCTATTTTTTGTTTTCCCTTTCACTACTTGTAGATAAATGCATTATTTATCTGGTTGAAATCGCAGTAGCCATCCCATTCAAACAAAGGATTCTCCTGAATAATGTAACCCTCACTCTCTCTCTGTATATCACCTGCAAACAAGTCTCATTTAACAAACTCGGTCAAGTCATTGATGACAACAAATTATATCGCATATAATACTGATCCATGGGGAATTCCGGTGGTCATACAGTGCAGGTTAAGTAAGAACCGTTGATATGTCCCCATTGCGGTGATCTGTCCCACTTTCCAACCTCCCGGGACTCTTCCACTGGCATACAAGCTATTAAATATCATGAAAATTGGTTCCGAAAGGATTTCAGCTAATTCGTGTGATACACAGAGATGAACCAGTTCTGGCCCTTGAGATCTGTTAACATGAAGGTCTCTAATTACTTAAATTTGCATACTTTTTCTGGCTGGACGTTTGCATCCTTTCCTATCACATATTGTTCATATGAGATGACAGTTTTCTGATTCTATGGTAAAGACGATACTAAAGATGTTTGCTAAATCCTTCGCTTTTTGTCTTTATCTGTAATAACTGTATCATTTCCCTCCTTCATTTCACACTCCAGATTTCATACATCTAGAAATGTTTACTGTTGATCTTCTTCTCGCTACCCTTCTGTTCGTTAACAACTGTATTTACTTTGTTACCAGCGATACAGTAGTCCCTCTAATTTTCTCCGCCCCTGTTCCCTAGATATTTCTTCCGCAGTCTACGTATTTTTCTTGATAGAGGCAACCGATCCTTGCTAAAAGTCGTTTTTCCTTTCTTTAATCCTCCTCTCATTTTTGTGTCGCCTGCAGAGCTGGCGGACACTTAGGGATCACTTTGTCCGTCGTCACGCGTCGGTGGCGTCGGCGGCGTCCATACGAAAGTTTTCTGGACTTTTTTCGGTTATGCTTTGAGGTATCAAAATGAAATTTAGTATATGGCTGTCTGTAACCCTTCTTGGCAGATTAATGCCCCTTTGAACTTAGAAAAAATTCTGGGAATATTGTTTTCCGGAGTTTTTTTGGGTTATCCTTTGAAATTATATACTGAGAGGAAAAAGAAACGCAATTAGCAGAAAGTTAATATTGTAAATTAAATCCTTGACGTACACCCTTGAAACTTACAAATGTGCACGTTTGATTTAGGTCCCTGTGGTACCGTATTAAAATCACTGATGCATAACTAAACTGCGCACGTCGCTTGTACAAAAGAATAAGAGACAAAAGCACGATATCTCAAACCCAGCATAAAGGATTGGTTCAAAATCTGTGTGGGCGAATCTTCAGACATATCCGTCTTGATTTCCCACATTTTAACCATAAACAGTTCACCGTGAAAAAAAATGCCACAACTGTCCGAAGTTGACAGGGGTCGTGCCATTGCACTTCTTATGCAAGGTACCCCGCAAAATCAGGTCGCTAATCAATTTGGAGTCCATCCATCGAACATTTGCCGTCTCATCAAAAGACCACATGCTACCGGAAAGGGTTACAGACCGTCCCGAAGCGGTCGCCCTCGTGTGACGACGCGTCGGCAGGATAGGGCAATGCGACTTTCGCACCTACGCAATCGCTTTCTGTTCCAATTGATCCAAAGACAGTGCGTACTCGACTGCGTGCCTTCGGTCTAAGACAGAGGCGCCCATAAGTTGGACCACAGATTAATATGCGGCGACGTGCCAGACGAATGCAATGGCTAAACGCACATTCCGTAAGACGCTTCCCAATGCAACGTTAGAGAAGGGTCCTGTTCTCAGATGAGTCCAGGTTTTAGCTTTACAGGACAGACGGCCGACGTCGTGTCTATAGACGTACCCACGAGCGCTATTCAGATGCTTGTGTGATAGAAAATGACCGCTTTGGAGGAGGACCGGTCATGGTATGGGGAGGGATTGTGCATGGTATCAAGACTCCTCTGGTCGTTATTCAGGAAAATCTCACGGCCGTCCGCTATAGAGATCATGTCCTAGCGCCGCATGTTGTTCCTCTAGTACAGCAGCGTCAACTGACGTTTCAGCAGGACAACGCCCAGTCGCACGTAGCGAGGGTTTACCGTGTTTATCTCGCAGCAAACAATGTCTCCACCCTAGACTGGCCCCCCATACAGCCCTGACCTCTCCCCAATAGAGCATTTATGGGACATATGTCAGTTGGACAGAAGGACAAGACGTAGGCCGAATCCTCCAATCAACGTCGCTCAGTTGGCGTTGGCGCTGGATGAGGAATGGAATCGTATACCAATGAGGAGGGTTAATACCCCGATCAATTCAATGCACAAAAGAGTTCGTACAGTTACCGCAGCTCGCGGGGGGCACACACGATGGGTCCAAAACGTACTTCATTTTGAGTGGGGTACTCTTGAATCAACGTCAGGTTCTGACATCCAGTTCGATTTCTGGATGACTTCTGTGATACTTTATGCAGGCGACACATACAGTTGAGAAAGATACAACAATAAAAAAATTTCAAAGTGAAATTCCATGATGGCCGCATGTCGACCATAATGTTATCTTGTTTAATGGGCACAATAAGGAACAAAGGGGAACCTACATATGAAATTTGCGAAATGTTTATGGATGGATGACGGACCACACGTGACAAAAACAAATAAAGTATCAAATGCTATTTCTGTTGCCTAATACATATTTCTGACATCAATTACAGTTCCTCTGGATGATTTGTCTAAGAAGTTGCTTCGGAATAACTATCTTCCCTTGCATAACTTCATATGTTGACTTCCTCTGTCAATTATATCGGGCTTAAAATCAAATTGTGATGATCTGGTTTCCAAGTTGTCATCTCAGCTAGCACAGCCCAGTCAAGCCAACTCTAACTGAACCATTTTGATAAACAAGAAATCTACGAAACTCAGTTTTAGTGTTGTAAAAAATTGTATTATAGGAGTACTGAATGTATGGGGAACTAGTGACTAGATAATAGTTGTTTTACATAGAAAAGGTCTGTAAACAAACATGTCTCATATAGTGGTCTGAACATAAAAAGCATAAACGAATATTTCACAACACTAATACACAAGGACATCTGCTACCTCACACATTTCATCAGCAGGTCTCTCTGAATATAAAATCACTATAATTAGTGTCAAATTGTTATAATTGAAAATATTACACTATATTGTTTATTGTCCATTTCCAGGACAGACTCTTGGTTTATTGATCCAACAGAACAAAGATCAGGTGATTGTACATTGTAATATATAAGTGTAACTGTTTCTGGGCCGAACTACAGGCCACACGGCATAACGGGCATGAGTGTGAGAGAGTTCCTGGGCTTGTATCCTTTGTTTTAGGTAATAACCCGAGTACACTGTCCCTAGGGGTGGGCTTGTATCCTTTGTTTTAGGTAATAACCCGAGGACACTGTCCCTAAGGGTGGGCTTGTATCCTTTGTTTTAGGTAATAACCCGAGAACACTGTCCCTAAGGGTGGGCTTGTATCCTTTGTGTTAGGTAATAACCCGAGGACACTGTCCCTAGGGGTGGGCTTGTATCCTTTGTTTTAGGTAATAACCCGAGTACACTATCCCTAGGGGTGGGCTTGTATCCTTTTTGTTAGGTAATAACCCGAGTACACTGTCCCTAAGGGTGGGCTTGTATCCTTTGTTTTAGGTAATAACCCGAGGACACTGTCCCTAGGGGTGGGCTTGTATCCTTTGTTTTAGGTAATAACCCGAGGACACTGTCCCTAGGGGTGGGCTTGTATCCTTTGTTTTAGGTAATAACCCGAGGACACTGTCCCTAGGGGTGGGCTTGTATCCTTTGTTTTAGGTAATAACCCGAGGACACTGTCCCTAAGGGTGGGCTTGTATCCTTTGTTTTAGGTAATAACCCGAGGACACTGTCCCTAAGGGTGGGCTTGTATCCTTTGTGTTAGGTAATAACCCGAGGACACTGTCCCTAGGGGTGGGCTTGTATCCTTTGTTTTAGGTAATAACCCGAGGACACTGTCCCTAGGGGTGGGCTTGTATCCTTTTTGTTAGGTAATAACCCGAGGACACTGTCCCTAGGGGTGGGCTTGTATCCTTTGAGGAAGTATTCTTTTGGTAAATGGTAAGATCTATTGTGAATGTGTATTAATGAGCACTCTTACCAGAAATCATATAGATAAGTCAACTGCAAGTCAGTAAGCAATCACAAAATATTTCTTATTTACTTATCAGTTTTTCTTTGCTTTGCTTAAAAATTGAGAATTAGCTTGACAATGTTGACGACTTTATCTGGATCTTGGAAACAACACTAACAAAGTGAAGTGTTTTGACTGTATAACATTGGTAACAGACATCTAGTGTACCCTTTCTAATGTAAACATCTAAGATATTTATTCTCTTATACTATCTCCTTTCCAAAGAGTTCCAAAGTAATAAACTCACTTTCCAAATCTGGAGTGGTTTACACTTGATTCTCAATATCTGTACAAGTTGAGTCAATATGGAAAACTCACAATAATAGATTCCGACCAAGAAAATTTGACCAAATTGTACACTAAATCAATTTTGATCCATTTTTCCAACAAGAATAATGTTACATTTTTTGAAGGGATTCCATATAAAAAAGTATATATGATTCTCTGACAGTTTCAAGACTAAGCATTGTCTATCATCCATTTGGTGGTAAGTACTGACTGAGTTTTCAATTCTTTCAATGATATTTCCTTGACATGCAAAAATAAAGACATGTACATACCACAATTGGAATCATCTGATCTAAGGACTTTTGATCAATATCTGTTATTGATCAAAGCTAGGTACATCTGAAAGGCACCCACTAGCTTAACTTGTTCTTTGAAAGTTGGATCTTTTTCCCTTCTTTTTTTCTTACCTATGTTTTTTATCTTAATGATATGAAATTTCAAAACAGCGATAACAATCTTTAATTGCCAAATCAAAGATGGCTACCCAGTCTTTTTCTGATACATCACAAAATCTGATATCAGAAGGGCATAACAAGGGCAACCTACATATGAAGAATGGTTTTACAAACATATGGGTGTAGGATAAAATGAATAACCAATCCTATAATGAATTTACTGTTCTCTTTCTAAATTGCTGCATCATTTAATCAAAATGTTCAGTGATTTATCTAACCAGATATCCCATAACTAGAAATCAATAGTTTATTGTGACATAAGATGACATACATCCTTTTTTTTCTACCAAAGACCAAAAATATAATGTGCAAGATAGCAAGGTCCTTACTGGAGAGGATATTCAAAACACATACCACAGGTTACACATGTAAGGTAGACTATTACATCTTGTCATATCAACATTCTGACATTCAATAGTCAGCTAAATGCAGCAAATGACACAGTATCTAATAATGCTCACTCTAAACATTGAGCTAGTCATGTTTACTCAAAAATTGAGTAAATAAACTAGGCTTATTTGAAATTGACCTAGTCATTTTTACTCAAAAATTAAGAAAATAAACAAGATTAACTCAAAACCTGGGTGAGTCATGTTTACTCAAAAATTGATTAAATAAACTGGGTTTATTCATAAAATTGAGCAAGTCATTTTTACTCAAACCAGGTTTACTTAAAAAAAACTGAGCGAGTCATGTTTACTTTAAAAAAAAGGGGTAAATAAACCAGGTTAACTCAAAAATTAAGCTATTCATGTTTACTCAAAAACTGAGGAAGTAGTGTGGGAAATCCACCTAGAGGGTATATCATCATTATCTACACGATGTCTTTGACACCAGACACATATATTCATTTTATGTCGACTATAATTCAGCACTAATTCGTGTACCAAAGTCTCAAGCTTTGCAACAATATTATACATCAACAATCACCCCAACTCTCTACTCTTGCCTTATTCATACTTCACTATCCACTTCTTAAATTAAATCACACATACTATATATAAAATCTGTTTTTGCCAGAATCTAATTTTTGGCATTTTTTAAAGGCTTCTTGCCGAACTACATTTCTACTAAACGACAGAAGAACAAAACACAGCTTTAAATCACTGAATATCAAACTCCCAAAAAACAAAAAAATTATTTCGGAGAAATTGGGTCTTATTCATTCTACTATTGTTACTGAAAATTAGAAATTTAGAACAGAAAACTAAAGCTTTACTACAGCAATGCATAATTCCTTTTTCATCACTTTCTCCCTTTTTTGACCTCATTTATGTTTTACTACCAGTCACACATATAAATCAATATTATCACTTATTCAACCCTGTGATCACCATACACACATATGTACATGTTTGTGGTCATTCACTCACTCTCTCACAGTGATCTTCACATTTTCTCCTCACAGCCTGTATCCTCAGCACATGTGTTCAGTGACTTTCAAACACTCCATCTTTTCACAGCATATGACTTTTAAACACTATTTCTTCACAGCCAGCAACTTCAACACATGGAGATTGTCACATTAATGCCAAGATTTCCATGATCTGCAAACAGCTGAGCAATGTTTGTATCAAACACAAGACAGTCACTAGCTACAATGGCTGACTGAACACCATCATGGATGCTCCGTGGAGTGGCTTCCCATGACAGGCGTCGACGATGGCCATTCAACTCTAATCTGTCAACAAGTAAACAAAGTATTGTAGACAACATAATTAAGGAACACCACACAAATATAGGCAAAGAACTTCCTTAACTATGTATGCATGCACCTATACCAATATGTTAATCACTCTAACACCTAAAATCTCCTCACCTGAGCTCCAGTCCCAGTAAATGTAACAATAATTTAGACATGTAAAATAAGAATTCCTTTGCCCTATTGCAGCCAAAAATTTTAATTTTTTTGTCCTAGCGCTGTTTCAGTCAAATACTGTTACAATTCAAAATTCCTTTCTCTTTACACTGTTTCAGTCAAATACTGTAACATTGATATTTCATCATGAACTATATCAATCTTTTGAACACACTGTTTATGAAATACATGAAATATCATAAATACTGTCATTCCTACCTGTATGCAAAGTTCTCTGCCTGTTTGCGTGTGCCTATTAGCTGAACGATTGCATAGAACATTTGCTGTCCCTCTGTTTTCTCTTGTTTTTCTAGCACCAACATGAAGTTATGGCCAAAGCATGACTGCATCATAACCCAGTCTACAGCGCCCGGTAGGTTGATGTCTGTTGCGAGGAATACAATGTCTTCACCTGTCAAATAGACATTAATACAAGCTAGCTTGCTCTGCTCTTGATGTCCTAGATTCTATTTTCATCTGAAATATAAATGTGTGAAGAAAATGGCACAGTAGAAAATTAAGTTACTTTTCATAATAATGAAGAAAAAAATTTGTATTGTATTCATGAATATTACATATGTCCCCACATGGTTGTTACTAATAGTGATAAATTGAGATTGACATGAATTGTGATAAAAATCAAACAACATTTGAATTTTATCACATAAGTTGTTTCTGTAGGGCTGTCATTTTGTTAAACAATAAAAAGAACACCATAGTTTTTTTTCCTGGCAGACAACACTGTGCTGACTTTCATCAAAACTGGACAATATGTAAATTACAACAAATCTGAAGCTGCTATATGGCGGCCATCTTGTCCAATGAGAAAGCTGATGTCATCAGATGTGGACTAACCAACATACCAATTTTCCTGGAAATTTGGAGATGCCTTGATATTGGCTAAATTTTCACAAATAAGAGGCCGCTCCAATGACCCATCAAACAACAAAATTGTTCTTTCATAACTTCTAAACAATAATGATCAAAAGATAAACTCTAGAAGAATTCAATATCGAATGTTTACTAATCTTTTTTATCTCAAACAATGCAATTCATTCATAAACAAATCAAAATTTTACCTTCAATTAAATTTCTTTTAATTATGAAAACATAATTTTGTGAAAAAAAAATTCTTGTTTGAAATAAAGTTAAAACATCTGCTTTAATTCCTCGCACACAGTCAAGGTAAAAATGACAGCTCCTATGTGGAACAGTGAATTGGCAACAACTGTTGTTTGATCAGAGGTATATTCAGTCCATAGAACTTATGTGTTTACAAAACCCATATGAATGCTTTGCAAGGGATATGCATCACTGACAAAATTGGGTAATCCCCAAATGAAGGCATAATTTATATAGAAGTGGAAAACTGTAAATAGCCAGGATGTTGTGACAGGTTGCAAATAAAGGATTCAAACTCGGCTGGGACATTTTTTAAAATATTTTTTCTTTCCCTATTACTTTGTACTAGTGAAAACATCAATCATGAATAAAATATCCAGACTACAATGGTCACTCCAGACAGCAATGATCACTCCGGACTACAATGATCACTCCGGACTACAATGATCACTCCAGACAGCAATGGTCACTCCGGACAGCAATGGTTACTCCAGACTACAATGGTCACTCCAGACAGCAATGATCACTCCGGACTACAATGATCACTCCAGACAGCAATGGTTACTCCAGACTACAATGGTCACTCCAGACAGCAATGGTCACTCCGGACTACAATGATCACTCCGGACTACAATGATCACTCCAGACAGCAATGGTCACTCCGGACTACAATGGTCACTCCAGACAGCAATGGTCACTCCGGACTACAATGATCACTCCGGACTACAATGGTCACTCCAGACTACAATGGTCACTCCAGACTACAATGATCACTCCAGACAGCAATGGTCACTCCAGACTACAATGATCACTCCGGACTACAATGGTCACTCCAGACTACAATGGTCACTCCAGACAGCAATGATCACTCCGGACTACAATGATCACTCCAGACAGCAATGGTTACTCCAGACTACAATGGTCACTCCAGACAGCAATGGTCACTCCGGACTACAATGATCACTCCGGACTACAATGATCACTCCAGACAGCAATGGTCACTCCGGACTACAATGATCACTCCAGACAGCAATGGTCACTCCGGACTACAATGATCACTCCGGACTACAATGGTCACTCCAGACTACAATGGTCACTCCAGACTACAATGATCACTCCAGACAGCAATGGTCACTCCAGACTACAATGATCACTCCGGACTACAATGGTCACTCCAGACTACAATGGTCACTCCAGACTACAATGATCACTCCAGACAGCAATGGTCACTCCAGACTGCAATGGTCACTCCAGACTGCAATGATCACTCCAGACAGCAATGGTCACTCCGGACTACAATGATCACTCCGGACTACAATGATCACTCCAGACTACAATGGTCACTCCAGACTACAATGATCACTCCAGACAGCAATGGTCACTCCAGACTACAATGGTCACTCCAGACAGCAATGGTCACTCCAGACAGCAATGATCACTCCAGACAGCAATGGTCACTCCAGACTACAATGATCACTCCGGACTACAATGATCACTCCGGACTACAATGGTCACTCCAGACTACAATGGTCACTCCAGACTACAATGATCACTCCAGACAGCAATGGTCACTCCAGACTACAATGGTCACTCCAGACTACAATGATCACTCCAGACAGCAATGGTCACTCAGGACTACAATGATCACTCCGGACTACAATGATCACTCCAGACTACAATGGTCACTCCAGACTACAATGATCACTCCAGACAGCAATGGTCTCTCCAGACTACAATGGTCACTCCAGACAGCAATGGTCACTCCAGACTACAATGGTCACTCCAGACTACAATGATCACTCCAGACTACAATGGTCACTCCAGACAGCAATGGTCACTCCAGACTGCAATGGTCACTCCAGACAGCAATGGTCACTCCAGACTACAATGATCACTCCAGACTACAATGGTCACTCCAGACTGCTATGGTCACTCCAGACTGCAATGGTCACTCCAGACAGCAATGGTCACTCCAGACTGCAATGGTCACTCCAGACAGCAATGGTCACTCCAGACTACAATGGTCACTCCAGACTACAATGGTCACTCCAGACAGCAATGGTCACTCCAGACTACAATGGTCACTCCAGACTACAATGATCACTCCAGACTACAATGGTCACTCCAGACTGCTATGGTCACTCCAGACTGCAATGGTCACTCCAGACAGCAATGGTCACTCCAGACTACAATGGTCACTCCAGACTACAATGATCACTCCAGACTACAATGATCACAATGGTCACTCCAGACTACAATGGTCATTCCAGACTACAATGGTCACTCCGGACTTCAATGATCACTCCAGACTACAATGGTCACTCCAGACTGCAATGGTCACTCCAGACAGCAATGGTCACTCCAGACTGCAATGATCACTCCAGACTACAATGGTCACTCCAGACTTCAATGGTCACTCCAGACTGCAATGGTCACTCCAGACAGCAATGGTCACTCCAGACTGCAATGGTCACTCCAGACAGCAATGGTCACTCCAGACTACAATGGTCACTCCAGACTACAATGGTCACTCCAGACAGCAATGGTCACTCCAGACTACAATGGTCACTCCAGACTACAATGATCACTCCAGACTACAATGGTCACTCCAGACTGCAATGGTCACTCCAGACTGCAATGGTCACTCCAGACAGCAATGGTCACTCCAGACTACAATGGTCACTCCAGACTACAATGATCACAATGGTCACTCCAGACTACAATGGTCATTCCAGACTACAATGGTCACTCCGGACTTCAATGATCACTCCAGACTGCAATGGTCAGTCCAGACAGCAATGATCACTCCAGACTACAATGGTCACTATGCCTATATTTGGTGAAATACTTTCCTGTTGCAGTTCAATACATCCAGGTAGCCATTACTAATCTGAAAGTTGGTGACTCATACTACAAGAGGCCCAGAGGGCCTGTATCGCTCACCTGGATTTTTATGACCAACAGTACTAAATCTGTGCATATGTTCCAAAGTAGATGCTTAAAGCAATATGACAAATAACTCCATATGGGTTCTGTCCCTTAGTAGTCAGCTCCCTAATCTGTGCAATGTTGAATTGAGACTTTCTTATGATGTTTCCAGTTAAATATAATTGATAGCTTTCTTTTCAATCAAGGAAAGAAGATAGTCAAACAACATAGCAGAAAAACTCTTAGTTATAGCTGGACGGATGACCCAGGACAGCAGAAGTTTACTTGCCCTTTAGATCACTGTTTACAAACACAGATACAACATATTTGAGACTTTCACAATATGTAGCAACAATTAAATATGAAGACAGGAAAATTTAAGGTACATGTAATTATAAACCATAATCCTAACTCAAAACCAAAAATAAAACATTTCATGTATACCATTAGTGATGTCACCATGGTCAGTTAAGCCCCGGTTACTGGAGATATACTGATAACAGTTTACTGTAGGCCTATAAACACTGTATAGCAAATGAGATCAACTTAGAATTTCTTATTTATTTATGCTATAATTATGAAGAATCTTAAATCAAAATGAAACTCTTGCAATTCTCTTTCCAATCATGTTTTCTGTATTTTAATGTTGTGAATAGAACATAAGTAATTGGCTAACATGTAGTTTTTCACATTACTTAGCTAGAGTCTCTCAGACCTCCTGGGGGCTTGGCCTCATCTATTTTTTTGGAACAGTGTGACATCACTGTGAAAGGTTTTTATAATCTATTCCAAATTATGCCAAGAAAACTCCCAGCCAAATATGTCATTACGTCATTTGTATATAAGCCTTTAACGGTCAAATATGATGGCTTTTTGGTTAATCAGAAGAAGTTGATTAACTATTTTACCAAATCAAACCCCAGTGACCTTAAATATCATTATGGGTCAAGCTATTTTTTCACACACTATGTGGGCACCATTAAAGGAACCTTTTGGACAAATATAATGATCACAAGCCTTTAGCTTAATCAGAAGTTGTTCAAAGGTTTAACACATTTGACTGTTGTGAACTTGAATATGGGTCAAGGTCATTTCTGTTCTCAAATATTACTCGGCATCATTGAGAACCTATTTTGGAATAATATCACTATCCTAGATGTTTTGGATCATCAGAAAATGTACTTTAAAGGTTTAACACATTTGACCCCTGTGACCTTGAAGATTGATCAAGGTCATTTCTTTTAGCAAACTTTACAGGACACCATAAGAGGAACATAGTAGCCAAATATAATGATTCTAGGCCTTCCAGTATTTTGGAAGAAGTCGCTTAAATTTTTAAACACATTTGACCTCTGTGACCTTGAATATGGGTCAAGGTTATTTTTCTTCGCAAACTTTGTTGGGCTTTATCAAAGAAACCTTCCAGCCAAATATAATCATTCTAGGCCTTCCAGTATTCTGAAAGAAGTCTTTTAAAGGTTTTAACACATTTGACCTCTGTGACCTTGAATATGGGTCAAGATCATTTCTTTTTGCAAACTTTGTTGGGCTTTATCAAAGGAACCTTCCAGCCAAATATAATCATTCTAGGCCTTCCGGTATTTTGGAAGGCATCATTTAAATGTTTTAACACATTTGACCTCCGTGACCTTGAATATGAGTCAAGGTCCTTTCTTTTTGCAAACTTTGTTGGGCTTCATCAGAGGAACCTTCCCGTCCAATATGATAACTCTAACCCTTTCGTTATTTCAGAAGAAACTGTTTAAATGAAAAGTTGACGGAAGCAGGACAGACAGACGGTGGACAGACGGACAGACAACAGACGCCATGCTATGGCATAAGCTCACTTGGCCCTTTGGGCCAGGTGAGCTAAAAATCAGACAGACCAAACTGAAAACCTATCTCAAGTACCCAGATTTATAACTATGTAACAGTGTTCAGTGTTTGTCTTACAATCCAAATAATGTTTTGCAAAATTTTCAACTTTTGTGTTGACCTCTGTAACAGTCAGTCTATAGAGGTATTACATACCTTGAAGTGTGGTGATACTTTTATGTTGCTGCATCAGGTGTGTCATAACTTGCTCTAAGGATCCTTGCCATTTACATGAAGCTCCAGGACAGGGACAACAGTAGGGTCTGCAGTAGAGTTTCTCTCATTAGTGAACATACACTGGATGATCCATTCTTAAGAGGTTAATGAAACAAGCTCAAACATTTGTTATTCAATGGTGAGGTAATGTTATCAAGAGAATCAAAGGCCTTAATGGTCACAATACTGTCCTTGTTCATGTAATGTTGCCCTAGAAAAAATCTTATTAACAAAGTAAGAAAATGTACACTATGCTGTACATATATACAAGTGTAAAATTAACTGTCATCCCATGTTTAGGTTTCTAACCATGTTTTGAATTCAAAGAAATTGCACTAACAAATGTAATTTTCCTATAGAAACTATTCCATCCATGAACAGTATATAATAGATTCTATTATATATTGGTTTTGAGAAAATCTTGAGAGAATTTGAGACAATCTGACCCCTTTTTGCCCAACAATCTCTGTGCCAGTCAAGATCAATATGTGCATATCATCAAACTGTCATCTTATACTAATAATTCTAACACAGTACAAACTATATTCAGCAGGAGAGTTTCTGGTTCACCTTATCTGGGTATTCACAAGCTTTTCACAATTTCAGTCAATTTGACCTTTTTTTGGCCCCTGCCCATCAGCATAACAAGTTATGCTAAAAAATATAATTTTCTGTATAAACTATGGTAAACTTCACCCCCTCACCACAGGGAAAGGTGAGACCCTTGGGCCATGAATTCACAATTTTGGTGAAGCATCTGAAGACACTCTATCCATGAAGAGTATTTGATTCTACCAATCTGGGTATGTAGAAGATTTTTGAAATTTTTAGTCAATTTAAACCCTTTTTGGCCATACCCATCAGCCCCATTGTTTAACATGGTTAAGATGTGCATAACATCAAGCTGTCATCCTATAATAACAATTCTAACCAAGTTTGATCTATTTCCAATAAAAATTAAACAAAATAGCATTTGAATCTACCATATTTCTGAACTTTCAATTAATTTGATCCTTTTTGGCCCTGCCCCTCTAGCACTTTGGGGAAGGAAGGGACCATATCATTTACGATACAAATTTTGTGCAGCTGTTCAGGGGTTTCCACAAAAAGTCGAAAATGTTTAAAGTTAATGACACATGACACCAGACAATTGTCCAATGCATTTGGTCACCCTGAGACTTTGTCTCACTTTGTAATGTCATAAATGTCTAATGGGGTGGTGTAAGTAAAAAATATTCAAATCTGTGATAAAATTGCAAGGATTCACTTAGGATTAAAAAATATATATAGAGAGAGAGCACTCTGGGAAAAAGTTGCTCCATACTTGATTCCATGTACACCCTGTTTGGTTTTTTTACATGATGTCTAAATAACATAAGAGAATTATATAAAAGTAAATCTTTAATTGAAAATAAGATTTTGTTGATCAAATAAACTAGATACTTTAGCAAACATTCCTAAAAACGGCATTTTCTTTGACTGACATGAAATCTAAACTAACGATGTTCTCAGTCTATTTTACAGCATATATAATGCTATGAACGACATCACAATGGAAAAAATGAGTCTTATTGCAAATGTGTAACACAAGGTTATTGGCCTAAAGTGTCATCTGTTTAATCTCAACACCATATGTATTGTTGAACAGGGTAGTTGTGCGATAGAATCCTTGATTCCAATTAAATCCAAGATAACCTTTTTCCAATTTTCATTACATAAACAGCAAACTTTCAATAAACTGATGTCCAGACTGACCTGTACCTGTATTTACAGCACTCCAGATAAACCTGATGTTGGTAACTGTATTTATAGGACTCTAGATAAACCTGGTGTCAGTGCCTGTATTTACAGGACTCTAGATAAACATGATGTTGGACATATATTTAAGTAAGTCTAGATAAACCTGTTGTTAGTACCTGTATTTACAGGACTCTAGATAAACCTGGTGTCAGTACCTGTATTTACAGGACTCTAGATAAACCTGTTGTCAGTACCTGTATTTACAGGACTCTAGATAAACCTGGTGTCAGTACCTGTATTTACAGGACTCTAGATAAACCTGGTGTCAGTATCTGTATTTACAGGACTCAAAATAAACCTGATGTCCTTACCTATATTCACAAGTCTCCTCGTGATCTGTTTTGTCTGTATGAAGCAGAGTGACTGGGCACCCACTGGACGAGTATTTACAAGGGAACATGACGGTGCTTGCCACTTTTTCCATAGCTAAATTACGTATATTTCCTGAAAACACAGAATACACTCTGCAAATGTTAACTGTTAAAATCTTGACCCATGTAAATCATTCTCTACAGTTATAACTCCAATGATGTGAAGCTGCCTTTACCCTTTAATTATTACTTGTTAACAATAGTAGTTATTGAGAAACAACTGACTAAGTTATGTAGCTTGTGTATCTATTCAGAAAATTGAAAACAATACAAGTACTTAACAATCATTATAATTCAACAAAGATATCAAGCATTGTCGGAGATGGTTCAAATGGAAACTTACTTGAAATAGAATAGTACTGTGACAGATAAATAAGATGTTCCAGCCAAAATTCCAATCAAATTTTATTAAAATCTGTTCAGCAGGACAGGAGTTGAAGTTTTTCACCACAAAAAATAGCTGCCATGCTTCCCAGAATTACAACTCCATGAGGAATATTTATTGAGCATTTTCAATGTTATTTTGAAATTTCTCCAGTAATGCTGGAGTCAGAAATTAAGCGTACATGAAAATGTTTATCATACTATTCTTACCTAAAGGGCCTCGACACGTTGGACACATGGTAAGTTTCTGACGACAAGCCTGGCATACTATGTGACCACTCTGACACTGCATGATGGGAGGGAGCGCATAGTCAAAACACACAGGACACTCAAATAGACTGGCCAGGTCAGAATTATTGGGGTTTCCTGCAGCAGCTGAGAAAAATGGTTAAGATATCATTACTGTAGGGCAGAAATATGGTATGTTTGGTCTTTATCTTGCCCTGAAAGTAGGGCAGAAGTATGGTATGTTAGATCTCCATCTTGCCATGAAAGTAGGTCAGAAGTATGGTATGGAAGGTCTCCATCTTGCCATGAAAGTAGGGCAGAAGTATGGTATGTTAGATCTCCATCTTGCCCTGAAAGTAGGGCAGAAGTATGGTATGTTAGATCTCCATCTTGCCCTGAAGGTAGGGCAGAAGTATGGTATGGAAGGTCTCCATCTTGCCCTGAAAGTAGGTCAGAAGTATGGTATGGAAGGTCTCCATCTTGCCCTGAAAGTAGGGCAGAAGTATGGTATGTTAGATCTCCATCTTGCCCTGAAGGTAGGGCAGAAGTATGGTATGGAAGGTCTCCATCTTGCCCTGAAAGTAGGTCAGAAGTATGGTATGGAAGGTCTCCATCTTGCCCTGAAGGTAGGGTGTAAGTATAGTAGATATTGTGCCTTCTATTGTGATTGCATGATCCAAAGAAGTGACTAAATTTGGTATCTTTATATCTTTCTTCTTCAATATTTTTTGTTTCATGTAGCAACTTATTTGTAAGATAGCAGTACACAGTTTCTCGGTGTGGCCATGGGTGATTTTTTTTTTGTTCATTAGATTACCCCCATTATAAAGGTTTTAATTAAAATTGAAAAAACAAATCCTTGCTAAAATTGATCTTATCATGTTAAAGTGGACATTGTGGGGTTTCATTTTTTCAGGATAATATTTCAGCTTTGTGTTGGTGATTACTATTTGGGCAGTCTCGAATCTGTGTCTATGCACCAAAAACTAGCTTTACAAGAAGGGAAATTTTCATAGTGTTTACATGTGGTCTTTTGAAGGATTTCTGAGTTGGAATTTGCTGAAATGTAAGTACTTTGTTACCATGACAGTGTTGTTGATTTTAAGATTGGTGTTTAGAATTAAATTTCTTCTAGAAAGTTGTAGTGTTAGGTTGGAATTAGCAGTATTTTTGCATTTTTAGCATTTTTTCAGTAGGTAACCATGACAATCAAATATCAGAAATCAGAGGAAATTTTTGATTTACACAATTTCATCTCTCTACTGTTAATGTAATTGTTATGTAGTTTATAAATATATACTCAAACATGACCAATAATTTCAGGAAAAATGCAAATTAACTGTTTCTTGCTACCTAAGCATCTCCTGTTTGGTGTCAGTGTTGAGTATCTACTCAAGCAAGCAAGGTTACAGGTTCAGACTCGTGTCTGTGGCTTGCTTATTTTGGCTTGACATTTGTTTTTAAATATCTGAATAGTGTAGGTTGTTGTCAGTATACCGTAAAATGAGACAGGTTGGGGTATCATGCTACTGTATATGATATTTCAGTGTCATTACACTATAAGAGTGCCCCTGTTGTCAGTATATATATAACCAGGTATGGTATCATGCTTCAATGTTCATGTGGAGACATTTCATCATGCTATTGTATCAAGTTTTATAACATTTCAGTGTGACGACACAATAAAAATGTCCATGTTGTCAGTATAATGTGACTGGGTGGGATATCATAATATTGTATCCAGGTTTCTGACATTTCAGTGTGATAACACTATAAAAGCTCCCATGATTGGCAATCCTTCAGGGTACTAGTCTTTAAATGACCTTTGCTGACCTGTTGCCAGGATGCTATCAATCATCATTTGATTATTAATCCACAAACCAACCTGGAAGCACAGCTGTATTCATTTCCAATAATATAATGCGGCACAAAAAAATTTGGTCATGGTTATTGTTTTGGTAACTAATTCTTTAACAGCACATATCACATTCCTAAACATATAATGGAAAATCCAAGATGTTTCCAGATAATAAAGTAATCCTGTATTCAAGTTACTTTAGAACCCAGTTGCCACTTTTATATCAGAAGAATGTACTGATCATATACCATCTAATTACATACCAAGAGCTGCTGCAGCATTTGCTGGTCCACCATTGGCTGCCACTGGGATGTGTGACCGCTGTTTCCCAGAAGATGATGTCTGTCGACTAAGGCTCATCTTGGAGGTTAACAGCACACTCTCCAATTAGAACTGCAAACAACCACAAGCCTTTAGTGGAGAGAGCTTATATATAATTAGTAATATTACAAATATAAAATCGAACAGAACTAACTATCGACACATGTACCTAGCAATAGCTAGCTGTCCTTCATTTAAACAATGTAGAGTCCTTTTGGCAGAAGATTCATATTCTAAACAGTAATACTTAGTTGGAAGCACATTGTAAATACAATGTAAGATATATACCAGTATATATATATAAATAAATGCATGTTTTTCAGGTCTGCAAATTTTCAAAAAATATCAACCTGAACAGAATGGAATGTAACTTCAAATGATATATAAAAGTAGGTCACCATACATACTTTAGCTGTTATCTCATTTCAGCACTTTTTTGCTGAATCATGGCACTAAAATATTCATATGATTGTGATAATATATAAATATATCATTGAGCTAAAATATTTAAATGATTTAGCTAGAATATTCATGACTGTGCCAAAATATGTATATGATTGAGTAAAATATTTATATGATTATGCTAAAATATTCATATAATTGTGCTAAAATATTTATGTAATTATATTAAAATATTTATGTGATTGTGCTTGTTGCAGCTTTATACACGTTATAAAAATAGTAATTATGGTTAGCCCAATTTTTTTATTATGATTAATGCACTATATTTTCCAAAAAGTGATAATACTTCAAAATTTTATGGTGTACGATTAGTAAAATTACAGTAACACATCGTAAGTCATGTAGTAGATGTGTTTTATCAAAAAAATCTTTAATGTGACAAACAGAAATTTCACGATAGGAACAATAACACCATGATATATCTTTGGATTTTTTTAATGATAATTCTAACTAAATGTTTCACTCTCAGTTCTTATGTAAAACTATCATATAACCATGTGAGATTGTTATCCACAGGTATGCACATTCCACAATCTAACATAAAAAGAAATTCCGTATCAAAATGTCTGGGTAGCTGTTGTCCTGCTGTTGATATTGAATGTATGAATCCTTGAATTAATTCACTATTTTCTTATTTTATTTGGAAGTAGCCAACATCACAAATGGTCCTTAACCATTCATATTGTGAATTACTGACACTTGTTGTACTTGACAATCGCTGAGGAAAATAATACGATAAATTAAGTTTTCAATTTGTTAATCATAATTAAGTAAAGATTAGTTGCCTTGCTAGCCTACAGTCTATATGTTGTAATTAAGAAAGAGGGTTAGCTGTACATAGTACCAGACAAGCAGAACAGTTAACTACATAGCTCTTCTGGTAAGACTAAGAAAAGAAGCACACATACATGTAACAATTAACACACAACGTTTATAAATGCATCTGTGAAACTGGACTAGGTTGATGGTAGGACACCAGAGTGCTCGACTGAGTGTCTAGAGTTTGAATAATCCCTGGCCATGCATTTTTCCACTTCTATTACAACTGTTGTCTGTAACAAATCCTTGTTTCAAGTAGGTGAATGCTTGACATGGGGATACCTGAACCTGGATTGTAAGAAGTTATCTTCAGGGGCAAAGACTTAGAAAAAGAAGGGCAGATAACTTTCTGAGTATTGGAAGGAAAAACCCTCTTGGGTCAGCTACTGAGGTTTTTAGTTAAAAAAAAATAACCCCCATTATCCATTAATCCAAACAATTTTCTCCTATTTTTGAAATGATATTTAAATTCTGCTATCGCCTGGTAGATATTGGTGTCAATATTTTCTTCACATCAGAGCTTGAGACTTAACCGAGACATCAGCAGTCAAATATAATGTTACACAATCGCTTATCACTATTCTACAAACATATCAAGAATTGAAGTGACTTTGTGACCACTCTTGACAAGGGAGGTAATAGGTATTAACAGAGATGGGCGTGTTTAGTTGGAGCTATTGACAAGGGAGGTAATTAGCAATACAAGATACATTCGATTGTACATTATTGTGGTATCTGTATCTAGTATTTCAGTGCACCTTATTTTGACCCTTTTGGAGCCGTAAGCAACTAAATTCGACATGCAGACAGGGCGTCGTAGGCGACTTTGGTCGACAATTTTTATATCTTTATTATATATATTTTTATAATATTTGGTGCTGAGCTGTACATTGTGAGAGATATTTGGCGCTGAGCTGTACATTGTGAGAGATATTTGGCGCTGAGCTGTACATTGTGAGAGATATTTGGCGCTGAGCTGTACATTGTGAGAGATATTTGGCGCTGAGCTGTACATTGTGAGAGATATTTGGCGCTGAGCTGTACATTGTGAGAGATATTTGGCGCTGAGCTGTACATTGTGAGAGATATTTGGCGCTGAGCTGTACATTGTGAGAGATATTTGGCGCTGAGCTGTACATTGTGAGAGATATTTGGTGCTGAGCTGTACATTGTGAGAGATATTTGGCGCCGAAAGGGTTAAAGGGGTTAAATTGTCAGGTTTTGTTCTCTTTTTCTGTGCATTTGATTTCACAGGTTTCACAGACAATTTCATGATACTTCAAATCTGACTATTCACAAAATTACAGTACTTTTTGAGAAAAATTGACAAAGCTCATCAGCTTTAAGCTAACTCTAGACGAAAATTGCTGTTATGTCTACTGTCATTCATTATTTAGATCAGAGATAGCAGTTATCAAGTAACCTTCCAGAACATTGTTTTAACCCGCTGTTCAGTTAGGATTTCTAAACTTTCCTGGGTCATGCATGCTCAAACACATTGTTTATATTTTCCAAACAACAATGATAGGAATAAGTGTTGGGTTGCTCCTATTTTATTTCATTTTTACATTTTCAATAAAATGGTTATGCAAAGTTTAATATATCATACTTAACAGAAATGTTTTTGTCAATTATGAAATGAAATTCTAACCATTTACTCCCTTTAAGTACATACATGTTTCTTTTTAATTAGAGGTTTCAGCATGCACTGAAAGATTTTTTTATAGCATTTCAAAGAAATTTAAGCAGAAAATGCTGGTTTTTAAGAGCACTTGAGGAATTTTTTATGAAAAGGAACCACACTGGGTTGATGGTCAGCAACCAGGTAGTTCTATTAGTAAAACATCGGTCTAGAGTCAGAAGGTTCCAGGTTTGTACCCGACTCTGATTGTGCTGTTTTTCTGCTCCTAATAATTTCTGATAAACATAATTCAAATAGCAATGTTTCTGTAACAGACGTAATTATTTATTTCATTGCCTCCACTAGGAATCGAACCCGGGACCCCTGGCTTACTAGTGTGACACTTAACCAATCGTTCTAAAGAGAAGTTCCCTCTAGCCGAGTGGTATATTGCAGCTAGTATTTTACCAGGGTTACATACCCTCCCTCCAGGAAATAACTTGTCCCCGAGTTTCCAGGGGTTACAGCAATGCTGGTGGGGCATAACTATGAACTATTCCCGGGGTCCCTACATGAACGCCAATGTAACAGAGGTAATTTTTTATTTCAATGCCTCCGCTAGGAATCAAACCTGAGACCCCTAGCTTATCATTTTGACGCTCGACCAATCATGCTAAAGAGAAGTTCTCTCTACCCGAGTGCTATATTACGGCTAGTATTTTACCAGGGTTACATTTCTATTTTAAGACATTGGGTTTTTTGAGACAGTCTGAAAGATGAAGATTTCCATTACAATGTTTTATCTTACAATCTCCATTTAAATAAATGACATTTTCTAAATAGGACTTTTACTTTTAGATGCCGGACACAAACTTATTGACCTTTGTTAATATCTTGTACACCTGCACACAATTCTACAATTGTATGATACACTTCGAAGCACATACAATATAGACCTCGAGGATGTCTGATATCAATTAATATTATAAGCTTAGTACCTACTAATTATGCCTCATGACTAGATAGGACTGTTGTGTTATTTAACACTAAAAAATGACGTCATTATGGCAATTAATACACATCATCAAATGATGTAATCTTTATATGCTCCTATTGGTTGCATAATTTACAACATGAAAGTAACAAAACGAAACACAATGAAAGTGTTTTTCACACCGTAGGCCTAACCACCTGACTGATGGATTTCGTTCGCATTGTTTGTTTCTTTATAGTGATGAAACACAATTTCACTTACTAATGCCAGTTCGATATAAAACTTAAACATATGATAAAAGTCCACAAAATATCGATACGCTGAAATCAATTTTATCATAAAAACAATAACTGGAAATTCCCTAGCATGACATGTTTCATGAAACACAAAACATGGCGGTCGAAGTTTCTTTTATTTAGAGTGGTACGTTGAACAAGTGTTTACGAATTGCCAAAATACATTCAAATTGATTGATAAACGAAGGCAATATTTATCATATCAAGTTAAACTATGGTTTAAAAGGCTCAAATATACCAGAAAAATGTCAATTTCATCTTACCCAAGGTCTTCCACTCTGACAAATTGTGTGTTCGGAATTTCTGTATTTTTTTCCTTTCGGAACACCCCGGACCTCTTCATGGCTAATTCTCTTGAGGTCCCATATAGGGAATTTTACGGGGAACAAAACTTTAAACCATATTATATTTGTATGATCCGAGAAGAGAACTAACATTTAAAGATCGTTTATATGTATATATTGATAAATATCACATGTTCGACAGGCTGACAAGCTGATATATTGGAATACAAGTATTTTATTTGATGTTACAAACAAAAACATTAGCTCTAGTATCAATAAAGGTTGCCTGAGTCATCAGTCGATAACATCATATGTCGTGAGCGGACGACGATGATAGGTAGAAAGATGATTTAAAATAACGGAACTAAAATCTGAAAAAAATGAAACATTGGAACTAAAGAAATAACAACTAAAAAGTACAAAATAAGGGAATTAAAATTAAAAAAAAAATAATGGAATTTAAATGTACATAATATTTCAATTAAACGTACGAAACAAAATAACAAAAACCGTACAAAACAGAGAGCACCACAAACGTTACAGCAAAGGAACAAAAGTAACATACAAACGCAAGTTATTACCTAGTAAAAAAGATCTTATAGACTAAATATGTGTTAGAGAAAAACAGAGAAAGCGATAAGGAAGAATATCACGACACCTTAGCCGTGTACGTATAGTTTTAGAAAATTAAATGAAAAAGATCGACACGATGAAAAAAAAACAAGAAAAGAAAAAAGACAGGGAATCGAAATTAGTGTAAGTATGTCATTTCTTCTTTCTGTCGCTTTGCCAGTATTTCTTTCATTTTGGTCGTTTGGAAGCCTTAATAGATTGTGGATGTTTCTGTCACATATTGACCGTGCCTAAGAGCAGAAACAGTGAAAAAAAACCACTATTTGTAAACCTATTGATTTGTTAATTTATATAAACGAGTGTTTATCATCTAAATTTGAGGGAAAAATGCAAACGTTGGGCCATCATATTGGTATTTCCTGTCCAAACATCGTCCGGTTTCTCTATCCAGGCCAGAGACGTGTTATATACGTCTCTGTCCAGGCCAAACATCGTCCGGATTCTCTATCCAGTCCAAACATCGTCCGGTTTCTCTATCCTGTCCAAACGTCGTCCGGTTTCTCTATCCAGTGCCCAAACATCGTCCGGTTTCTCTATCCAGTGTCCAAACATCGTCCGGTTTCTCTATCCAGTGTCCAAACCTCGTCCGGTTTCTCTATCCAGTGTCCAAACATCGTCCGGTTTCTCTATCCAGTGTCCAAACATCGTCCGGTTTCTCTCTCCCGTCCAAACATCGTCCGGTTTCTCTATCCAGTGTCCAAACATCGTCCGGTTTCTCTATCCTGTCCAAACATCGTCCGGTTTCTCTCTCCCGTGTCCAAACATCGTCCGGTTTCTCTATCCAGTGTCCAAACATCATCCGGTTTCTCTATCCAGTGTCCAAACATCGTCCGGTTTCTCTATCCTGTCCAAACATCGTCCGGTTTCTCTATCCAGTGTCCAAACATCGTCCGGTTTCTCTATCCTGTCCAAACATCGTCCGGTTTCTCTCTCCCGTGTCCAAACATCGTCCGGTTTCTCTATCCAGTGTCCAAACATCGTCCGGTTTCTCTATCCAGTGTCCAAACATCGTCCGGTTTCTCTATCCTGTCCAAACATCGTCCGGTTTCTCTATCCTGTCCAAACTTCGTCCGGTTTCTCTATCCAGTGTCCAAACATCGTCCGGTTTCTCTATCCAGTGTCCAAACATCGTCCGGTTTCTCTATCCAGTGTCCAAACATCGTCCGGTTTCTCTATCCAGTGTCCAAACATCGTCCGGTTTCTCTATCCAGTGTCCAAACATCGTCCGGTTTCTCTATCCAGTGTCCAAACATCGTCCGGTTTCTCTATCCAGTGTCCAAACCTCGTCCGGTTTCTCTATCCAGTGTCCAAACATCGTCCGGTTTCTCTATCCTGTCCAAACATCGTCCGGTTTCTCTATCCTGTCCAAACATCGTCCGGTTTCTCTATCCAGTGTCCAAACATCGTCCGGTTTCTCTATCCAGTCCAAACATCGTCCGGTTTCTCTATCCAGTGTCCAAACATCGTCCGGTTTCTCTATCCAGTGTCCATACATCGTCCGGTTTCTCTATCCAGTCCAAACATCGTACGGTTTCCCTATCCAGTCCAAACATCGTCCGGTTTCCCTATCCAGTCCAAACATCGTCCGGTTTCTCTATCCAGTCCAAACATCTTCCGGTTTCTCTATCCTGTCCAAACATCGTCCGGTTTCTCTCTCCCGTTTCCAAACATCGTCCGGTTTCTCTCTCCCGTTCCCAAACATCGTCCGGTTTCTCTATCCTTTCCAAACATCGTCCGGTTTCTCTCTCCCGTGTCCAAACATCGTCCGGTTTTTCTATCCAGTCCAAACATCGTCCGGTTTCTCTATCCTGTCCAAACATCGTCCGGTTTCTCTATCCTGTCCAAACATCATCCGGTTTCTCTATCAAGTCCAAACATCGTCCGGTTTCTCTATCCAGTCCAAACATCTTCCGGTTTCTCTATCCTGTCCAAACATCGTCCGGTTTCTCTATCCAGTCCAAACATCTTCCGGTTTCTCTATCCTTCACTGTTGGTAAGGTTTATGAACGTGTTACCTCTGAACATATCTATAAATATTTTGTTGACAGCTCATTGTTTTATAACAATCAGTTTGGTTCTACCAGGTCATTCGAACTGATGTCAATATATAGAAATGTATCATAGTATCTAGTACCTTTATATCGATTGAAGAATAAAAACATACATGTATTGTCTTATGTGATATTTTAAAAGCCTTTGATCGTGTCAGGTCGATGAAGGTCTTTTAACAAAGTTAAAATCCTATGGAAAAGGAGAATCATTGGTTAAAAAAGAATGATAAACATCAAAGGTAGCAAAGAGTAAAAAACACAAAAAGAAAAGAAAACTTCAAATGCACCAATAATAAAAAGAAGAAGGAAACATCAATGGCACCGAGAAAAAAAAACAAAGAAAAAAGAAGAAAAAATATATCAAAGGCAGCAAATAGTAGGTATTAATTAGTCAAATTGGGTCCGATTGATGCAGGGATTTCCAAAGGTTCCATCCAAGCCAAGTGTACTTTTTTTATATAAAATGGTATAGTGGATATTTTTTTGGTTCAGGATCTCGTCTCTTCGCTGATGTCATTGTTCAATATTAGAATATACACGTGAAGTACGGATAATTGCAAAGTTTAGAATTAGAAAAGTTAGAAAAAAGTCAATGTGAAGAAATTAGAATTATTACTGGTCTTCCACCATAAGCAAGTATCCACGCTTTACAATTTGAGACATTTGTCTGCTAGGAGAAAACAAAGAAAACTTTGTACAACATAACAAACCCCAGACTATCTGTCTCCCTTACTTAAAGATCATATGTTTTTAGAAACAGAAATGATTTTGAGTTCTATATCATCAATCAGATCTTCTTTCTTACCATCAACGCTTAGTAAAGTAATCAGCTTCTAAAACCTGGCAACCAATCTTTTCCCACATCTTATTTTGGTATTGGAGGCTGCAAACTTAATATCATTCACATTTAACTTAGATTCAGTTCGTACATTTATGACTTGTTCGGAGGGAACCTTGTGGAATCTCCCCATTGTATACTTGTGGACGCATTTGTGAGAATGTCCATCACATTTTGTTTGAATGTTGATCTTAGGATATCAATAAAGATGTCCTCTTGGAGAGATAAAACGATTTAAATTTTAATATTGATTTGTTCAAATATATGCTTTTTATGTTTAAAATGTTTAGCATTACAATATTGACCCAGATGTCTACGGAAAGGAGGAGGATTTGAGTGGACACCAATGTGAACGGATTTTAGGGTTCAAATGGACCTCTTGTAAAAGGCATCGACTTTGTACCGCTCTCTCTCTCTCTCCTACTCTCTCTCTCCCTCTCCTATACCCTATAACTTCCCCTCTCTCTCACTACCTCCCCCTCTATCTCCCTTTCTACTCCTCCTCACTCTCTCTCAAAAATCATGCTATATTGTAGGTGTTATCCATGTTCATCTACATTACACCCACCTCTCTCTCTTTCTCATCTCTCTCCCTTCCTCTCTCACTTCAATATATCTTCCTCCTCTTTCTCCCTCTATCTCCTTTCCTCCTCCCCCTCTCTACCCCTTCCCCCTCCTTCTCCTCCTCCCCACTCTCTCCCTCTATCTCCTTCCCTCCCCCTTTATCTCCCTCCCTCTATCTCCCCTCCTCCTCCTCTCCTCCTACATCCTCCTCCTCTCCCTCACTCTCTTTCTCCTCTCTCACCCCCTATATCTTCCTCCCTCTCTCTCCCTTCCCCCTCCTTCTCCTCCCCCACTCTCCCCTCTTTCTTCCTCCCCCTTTATCTCCCTCAACCTATTTCCCCTCCTCATCCTCTCCTCCTACATCCTCCTCCTTTCCCTCACTCTCTTTCTCCTCTCTCACCCCCTATATCTTCCTCCCTCTCTCTCCCTTCCCCCTCCTTCTCCTCCTCCCCCACTCTCTTCCTCTATCTCCCTCCCTCCCCCCTTGATCTCCCTCCCTCTATCTCCCCTCCTCCTCTCCTCTTACATCCTCCTCCTCTCCCTCACTCTCTTTCTCCTCTCTCATCCCCTATATCTTTCTCACTCTCTCTCCCTCTGTCTCCCCTCCTCCTCCTCTCCTCCTACATCCTCCTCCTCTCCCTCACTCTCTTTCTCCTCTCTCACCCCCTATATCTTTCTCACTCTCTCTCCCTCTGTCTCCCTTCCTCCTCCTCTCCTTCACTCTCTTTCTCCTCTCTCACTCCACTACATCTTTCTCACTCTCTCTCCCTCTATCTCCCTTCCTCTTATCCCTCTCTCTCCCTCTATCTCCCCTCCTCCTCCTCTCCCTTCTCCTTCTCCTCACTCTTTCTCAAAAATCATGCTATATTGTAGGTTGTTAATAGTGAAATTTGTCACTCAAGTATAGAACATAATTTGTGTTAAATCT